TAGGCCGTATGGGGTTGACAGGGTTTTTTTCTGCCTCCCACATAGCTAGGACGAAGGGTTTAAGGGTTTAGGGTTTAGGGTATAAGAGTTGTGTAGGTTGCCGTGGGTTGCAGGTTTGTGGCCCACAATGCTTGTTTTGCGTGCTTTGTTTGGTGGTTTTGCCACCCAGCTGCCCCTAGTTGACTGTGTCGCGGGGCATGGACCACGAACTAAAGAGTGCAGAAAGGAACCAGTGCCGGTAATTTCAGACCTTCTTTGCTGCAATTCCCTGCACACTTCTTGGTCCAAGGTTTAGCGAGTTCAGGATTGGGTTTTGCAGCACGGAAATCACACAAGCGAGCCGATGCGCACCAATCGCTGAAAGTGGCAACGACTAGCTACAATGACGCTGCAGGGGGATAAGGATGGGAGGTGGCTCTGATGCAACGGCAATGCTGTAATGCTCACGAAATTTTGGTCTACATCTGATATACGTCTACTTGCGAGTGAAAGGTACCGGACACACATAATGATACATATGCGCACACTCTTTGACAGGCATGCAGGCTCGCGAGCATAGCAGCGATGTGCCATGTGCATGTATGATGTATACACACGCATACAGAGATATCAGAGATGCTCTTACACAGAGAGATGTGGACAAAATGTTGAATGTTGATAGTCGGGCTGATAAAGCAACTTGTGCCCTTATTCTAGTATGTTAGACTGGTCTTCTTATCCGTTTACACAAGGTTTTCACACATGCATTCCATGTTTCTAGGTCTTTAAGTCTTGGCCTCGACTCGAAACGGAAGTCTTCTACGTCAGGGCTAGCAGATGCAATGGGGTCGCAAATCCGGAGACCGTCGCAGCCCTAAACACTAAACCCTAAAACATTTTGTAACGGGAACTACAGGCATGACCACGGAAAATAGCCCGGGCATTGGCCGCAAGTTTTGCTGCACGAAAAGCTTAAACTTGATCTGTAGAGTATAGAAGCCTCGGGCTATTGCATACTAACAATATAGTATATGGAGGCTTTTTTTACGGTGAAACCAAAGATTCAACCCCTGAACTGGCAATCCGATAGAAAGAAAAGTAGACAAGCGGACAAACGGACACACAGACAGGCATGGACAAAGAGATGCACAAGTAGAAAGACAGACACGCAAAAAAGGCAAACAAAACCGATAGATAGATAGATACATAGGTACACAGGTAGACAAATCGTCAGGCAACTTGGCTCGGTCTACATCAACTCAACAACATGATCTCCTGCGACCGACGACCTATCACAAGGCATCAGGTTCATCAATCTCCATGCACCTGAATGCTTGGCTGAGGCTTTGGTTGGCCTGAATTGGAATATGCAAAACGTGTAACACTAGGATCTGTTGACTCAACTACTGTTACGTGGAATGTTTATATAGGAGCATTTGCTCCGATCCTCTCCACCACCATTCATGTCTGAAATTGCATCTACTATAATATGTTCGTGCGGCCCGCATCCGCCGTTCTTGAAGTTCTTATGTGCTACTCCTTATTATCACTCCTGATCTTCCCTCTTGCTGCGGCACCGGGGGTACTGCTCATTATGTTATGCTGCTCTAGACGGCGACGCGAGTCGACAATCAGATCATCGTTGACATCATGCTCAAGTCTTAACATCATCGTTATCGTCGTGATCTTTTCTATCAGTACCATTAAAAATGCCACCATCACCATCGCCATACAACGTACCCTCGTCATAATTAAGCAGGAAACTACTGCGTGGGGCACCAAGCCCGGAGGGGGCGGGGAGAGGGGGGTGCGGCCCCGCCAATACGCGGAAGCAACCCCAAACGGCTCCATCACCATACGAGAGGGGTGGGGGGGGATACCATGGGGGGGGGAATGGGGGCCGGGACCCGAGAGCACATATATATATATATACTAGGCTCTTCAGTAACCCCCTGAAAAAAAGTATATACTTTTTAAGGCTACTTGTAATATACTAGGAACCCAGGAACCCAAAAAGTAAAAAAGTATGCTACTGAGCAGCCTAGTATATATATATATACGTGTGTGTGTGTGTGTGTTTGCCCATGCATGCATACATGCATGCATGTTCGTACGTATGTAGGTATGTAAGTGCATGGCTGCATATATGTATGTCGGTTTGCATGTGTGTTTTTACGTAGATTTGTACGCGTATATGTGGTTGAGTATGCGTGGGTGTGTGTGTGTGTGGTATGCTTATGTAGGTTTGTGTATGTCCGAACAAGTCCATGCATATATGCATGCACGCATGTACATTTGTTGTATGTACGTCTGTATAGATGTACGCATGTCTGCATGTATGTAGGGTCTGTATACAGTACCAGTGTCTGTGTGTGTGTGTGCGCGGATGTGTATACCTGCGAATGCCTGCATGTGCTGATGCATACATGAGAGAGAGCGAGAGCACGTGAGAGAGAGAGAGAGAAGAGAGAGAGAGGCAGAGAGAGAAAGAGAGAGCAAGAGCGAGAGCGAGAGCGAGAGAGAGAGACAGAGACAGACGGACGGAGAGCGGGAGAGCGAGTGAGCGAGCGAGCGAGTGCGCATGCGTGTGTGTTATATGTGTTATGTGTTCTGCGCTCTTTGTGCATATGTACATATATGTACATGAGCATATGTTATGTTTGAATTTGGTGAGGTCCGGCCTAGTGTCCAAAGCAAGCGCTCTGCAGCCGACTCGGGGGCGAAGCGTCTTCGTTTTCGGAGGACCTTTAGGGGCTCTAGGGTTTAAAGGGGCTGAATGGTTAGAACAGTGTTTCGGGGAAAATGTCTTGCAAAATAATCAGGAACCCCAGAATAGTATTTGTGTAGCTAGTGAAGCCCCTATAGTATCCAAGAAAGGCTCAGCAAGCTGGGGTTTAGGGGGCTTGGTGGTGCAATGGTCTGAGTGGTTTGGGGCTTAAGGAGTCTAAGGCATACCCCGAACTATAGGGTGGAATGTTCTGGGCAATTTCAGAGCTGATATGTTTTGACGCTCACTCTCAGACTGTGCCAGGAGGGGTCTGAAGACAGTTCTGTGGGATTTAGGCAATCCCTGCCTTGGTCCGGTTCTGCGCGCGGCCCGCACCCCGGAGGCTCTGAAGCGCTTGCGCATCCATGAGCCGAGCGAAGGCTGATGGCCTCGGTTTGTCGGGTTTTGGGGGCTTTAGATGGCTTTGGTTTAGGTGGAGATGCGTAAGGCCCTGCCTAGGCTGTAAATCGTCGATTCTGTGGGTTGTTGCATCTTTCGGCTCTCACACTCAAGTGGAAGAGGCATCCGGGTTCAGACCACTGAAGAACTTGCAGGGCTCGCGCGTTTGGACCATTGGAGATTCTGAAGCTGTTGAACCGGAAGCTTGGTCCAAGCCGCACGAAGGCAGAAAGCAGCCAAACCTTGGAATTGAGTGGACGGCTTCCAGGGTTCAAAATTTCGGCTGTGAGGCCGGAGGGGACGCGCTAGCACAGATCTCAAAGACTGGACAACTGCTTCGAACTACTACTACTTCCGACAAAAAACGTCGTGCATCTTTTCTTGGAGTCGCGATCATTTGGGGCAAAGTCTTTCGCGGCAGTTCTCTGCAGGGTCTTTCGGTCTTCTACTGGGACTCTCTGGTATCTGGTCCAAACATAACAGTATCAGGCTATGTAGGCTGACCCATTCAACACAGAAACCGCCGTTGAGTCGTGCGCCAGATTCTGGCGGTCCACTAGGAAACGATATATCTCAGAGATCAGAAGAAGGACGCCCGGGCCCCTCATTCAAGTGCTTCCTTGGCCTCAGGAAGCCTTGAAAACCCCTAAACCCTAAAACCACAGTAGCCATCGAGAGGACTCGCCGGGGCGCGGCTTCTTCTGGCCCTGACATAAGGTGTGGGTCTCAGAATCCAATCCTGTCTGAAGCTACTGCCACTGTTGCTGCTGCAATAATACCAAAACTACCACTACTAGTCCTCCTCCTCCTGCTGCTGCTGTCAATACTGCTAATACTACCACTACCACGACGAAAACTACTACTACTACTACTACTACTACTACTACCACCACTACCACCACTACCACCACCACTACCACTACCACTACCACTACCACCCATGCTTGCTCTTCCTTCTTTGTGTTGCTGCTAATACCGTTCACATAACGGCAAGCATGCGGAGACCCACGATTCTTTGCAAAAGCCATGCTGCTAGGCTTTTGCAGCCAGCCCTTGCCACGTGCATGGCAGGTCAGCGGCCAGCGATCCCGATAGAAATGCACGACAGCAATAGCTTCGACTATGTTTTTATTTGGTCCCGAGGTTCTCCTGCGATCATTTTTTCATTTTGAATATGTCTTCTTGGAATCTTGCTCAGATCAGTGCGATGGTGCGAAACGACGACAGAGAAGCGATCTCGCATTCCTCAAGTCGTCTGGGCTGGGCATCAAGCCTCTCGGCAGACCTACTGGGAAACCACAGTCGTTGCTAAACGCTGCACGAAGCCTATCTCAGGAGACATGCCCGGCCCAAGCATATTCACAAACATATACACCTCAATGGATGGAAAAAAATCGGACGGACAGCTTCACACTGACACTAAGGCAGTGCCCACTTCCTGTCGCAGATAGTCGCAGCCGCCCTTTGCCCAACAGCCTTCGCCTAATAGGGTTTTGGGGGTTCCTTATTATACCTATTCTAATTATTAACGCCCCTAAAATTATAGTATAATATACCCCCAAACCCTATTCTAATGAAATTATTAAGGCCCCTATGTTATGTGGTTTGAGTCTGAGTGGTGCTTTTGGGCAATCACGGCTGGCCTTATGCTCGCATGGCAAAATCTAAGCAAAATCAAAACCAAGTAGGGTTTAGGGTGTAGGGGTTTAGGGTTTAGGGTTTAGGGTCTAGGGTCTAGGGTTTTAGGGTTTAGGGTTTGGGGTTTTAGGGTTTAGGGTTTTGGGGATTAGGGCCGTTTAGGGTTTAGGGTTTCCAGAACAACCTTCTGGATGAAATACGCGCATAGCCGATCAACTCAGTTGACCAGCGAGGAAAGGATCTGATTCGGCAGTCGGCAGAGCCACTTGTCATTGATCTCGGGGTTCTTTCTCTCTGCCTGTCGTTGCTTCAGCAGACGATGGCGATTCTCGTAGATGGTCTTCATGACATAGGCGAAGACCATCGTCCGCTGGACACCGGGATCCACCTCTGCGCGGCTGTGGAGAATGCGCCAGTTGTTCATCACGATCATGGAGTGCTCGGGCCAGTCGAAGCTACGTTTGAACCTGGCCTCTTCCAGCAAAGCCGTCCACCTCTTGTAGGCCTGCATGTATCTGTCATAGACATCATATGGCAGTGCAGACACACCTCGCTTTGTCTCAGACTGGACGACTTTCTCGAGGAGGCCATCCTTGTCCAAGGTCAGCACTGGGTGAGTGTGCACCAGCTCGAAGGTGAAGCCCTCGGCGTCGTTGGCGTCTCGGGCATCACGGCGGTACACTCCGCTCTTTGCATAGATGTTGTTCCTGCTGCTGTGAGTGAGGTTGACCTTCGTCAGCAGCTCGTAGTCTTCTGGGTGGTTCTTGCGAAGGTATTCGGCGACCATGAGGCCATCCACCACCTTCGATCTCACCGACCCTCTCGCCTGGTACATAAACTGGAGGTACCCAGGAGTGCCATGGTAGACGGAGTGGTCTGTGTGCATTGAGAGCGGATTCTTGTGGTCGTAGTCCGCGCCCGCCTGCTCCCCACGAGCTTGAGTGTGGATCACGCCAAATCGGGTAGCCCGAACGGGATGCTGGTTTAGCCGGCCGACAACTTGGGCGACGAAGTCCTCTAGAGGCTTCCCACAGTCGACATGGTCGAAGCTGTCGGGCTTCCCAATGTTCTCAACGAGAGCCACTCCGGGATCCATCATTCTCTCAAGGAACTCAATCTGCATATCTTCGTCCTTGAGCATCTGCTGGCCATCGAAGCGGGGCATGTCCAGAGTGCTGTCCCAGGGCTTTCGCTTGCGGTAGAGGTCTTCCAACAAGGAGCCGGTGCCGGGAAGCCCAGCATTTGAGCTCCGAGCCGCCTTGGAGTCAGTCAGGGGCTGTCCCACATAGGGGGCAAAGGCGTGGAGCCAGGTTGACACATACTCCTCGGTCACCGCATTCCCGGGGATTCCATTCTTGAAGTGGACCTGCAACTTGGAGCCGTCGGAGCTTGGCGCGGCCGTGTCGACGGTGTACTGGTCGCTTTCGAAGAGGGTTTGCGCCGACTTGCGGTAGAAGTCGCTGCCGATGAGACTGGGGTGGGAGTCCTTGATCCACGCAGTGTGGAATCTGTAAGCACTCTCATCTGCAAACTCGATGTCAACCTGCTTTCCATCGTTGACGGGACGCGCGGTGGCAATTTTCATGCCCCGCGTGGCCCCGAGGACACTGCGAGGCGATGTCGACGCTCGCACTGAGCATCGCCCCATGGCGAGCCCAGAGCGAGGAGCCAGAGACGGAGCGCTCCGAGCTGTGGCGCCGAAGGGTGCCGAAGATTGCAGCATCGCCGCTGAGTATGTCTCCTCGGCGGCATTGACTGCAAAGTCCTTGACCCGTGCGATGACCTCCTGGCTTGACGATGCCGACTTTGAGGTAGGGTATGTGGCCATCGCCTGGGCGGCAGACTGGTAGGGGGTGCAGGCTAGGCGATGGGCAGCACCCATGCCACGGACCAAGGAGCACTTCTTGGCGATGGTGTTGGGAATCATGGCACGGACCCGGTCTTAAATTGGAAAAAAAATACAGGCACGTGTTGTGCTTGGCTACTGCCAGGGCCGGCCGTTTGACCTGGAGCCGCCAAAAGTGGTGTTGTTGTCGGCTTCGGCGACTAGCTGGAATTGTGGTACCGTTTACACCGCGTGCTTACATGCCCGCGTGTAGACAACCAAGTAGAAGCTTCGTCCTCGTAATACGCCAAAGTATAGCAGTTTGTCTGAATGGAGTAGATAATGGTCTTTGCCATGTGCATATGTGCATATCTATCTATCTATCTATCTATCTATCTATCTATCTATCTATATATATACACACACATATGCATGCATGCATGCATGCATGCATGCTTGCATGCATGCACATACATACTGCATGCCTGTTTGTACAAACCTACATGCCTGCATACCCACATGTGCATGTAATCTGTATGCATGTACATCTGAATC